GAAGTTGATCTGCTCTCATCGCCAAAACCAGTCGTCTTTATATTACATTCGTTTCTGGCTACCAAAGTCTATCGCCTTGGCTTATATGCTTAATAATAGATATGCTCATTGAATGTTATTTTAGTTCTATTATCTAATATACAAAATGAGAGAAACCGATGTATGACTTCAAGCTGATGTGAAAAATGCAAGCTTAAACGAGTCAGTCAAAACATGTCTTTAATTTAGGTCAGGATTATGCAGTTGATTAGTTGTAATTTTGTTTGATTGATTATTGACATTTGTAAATAAAGCTATTCAATAATTTATTGTTTTAATCAGTGAATCGAATGAGAACTGTTCGTCGGTTTTTGTGTAGTTACTGACCCGTTCTCTTAGATTCATGTCCAGTATGGATCGAGCCGTTTCACGTCAACTGGCAGTGGTGAGAAAGTTAGTACTTCTCATGCAGAAAAGTTTATTGATGGGCTGAATATAACTGAAAGGAAAAGTCAGTGAGGAGACAAAGTTGTGTTTTTACATACTACCTCAAATTGTATTAATCAGTGAATCGAATGAGACACTCTGTCTTCGTCAAGTGACTGCTCATCGGCGGTATTCAATGACTCGCCGAGAGCTTCGAACCCAAAATCGTTGTGGAAAAATGCTAATAAAGTAAACAAGATTGAATAATATTTTCTGTCAAAAGCTGTATTTTATCTGAGTGATTAGTTGGAGAAAGCGGTTGGCAGTCTGCAATTGAATCAGATCTTCGTCTTTCAACGTGCTATGTACACGCAACTCAACTGATCAAATAATTTCAGTAATCCGAACGGACCCAAGTCTCAAAGGGTTCAGATTTGGGGAGAGAGGGGAGATAGTATAGAATTGTTAATTTATTGTGATCTTCGACTAGTTTCATTCATCGTTTCGCGATATCATTAACATTCTGCTGGTGAAGTACAATGTTTCGGAGATTACAATACGTGGCATCTTAATGTCACTTTTCTAAGCTTTTGTCAAGAAATGATGATTATGGCTAAGTATTGTAAAGAAATTTTCGTTACTTTCATACCGAAAATTATTCAGCTTGTTAGTTGCAATCTTCAATTGCCTCCCGTGTCAGGCTTGGCTCAGGTGGTTTCACCAATGCCTTTTCACCTTGATATTTTTACTCGTACTTCTTCATCATCGAAAAATGTTAATTTTAATTGTTCTTCCGAAACTGGACTGTTTTGGCTATTGGATGCTTTCGCTGGTATGCGATTTTTCTACGACAGGCGAATACGACTAAGTCTATTCGAAGCAGTCGTCTCAATTCCATTCTTTTTACATCATGCTTGCAGAATTATTTTACGAGCACTGAAACGTTTGAATGTAATATTCTCAAGGCTATTTTTATTTATTTATTCAAATAATAAGTTTTATGGCTTGTGTGCACTGCATAAACCGAAATTTAACTACAAAGTAGTGTAAATTACCTCATCGATGATTGGATCATATCGTTCGCATTTAAGTGTGATGTGATCGAGATATCGACCCACAATGATCGATAGTCACCATACAACCTCAACGATGTACTTGTAGGTTTTGTTAGCTCCGTTATATTCGTTAAGTTACGGTAATAACTTTACGCATTTCTGGATAGGAATAGTTTCGAAACGAATTTTAGTCTATGGTAATTGCGCAACTTCATGAAATGATCTAGGATATTTGGCTCCCTGAGAAATTGCACCCGGCCATACACTCACCCAAACTTCGTTACGATCTGATTTTGAGCAATATGAACGCATATTCACCGTTGTTATGCGCATATTGAGGAATGTACTCTAGGTGATATGTTACGATTTTCTGAATTCACACTAAGTAGTTTTTATCTGTCGTTCTGATAGGGTCACTCGTAGCATCTAGTTAACATGAGTAATCACTGAACTCTATTAAGTTTACTTTCTGATCGTGTTTCTATTGACTGCTGTTTTTGTAAGGTGGCTTCAGGCTCCAGAACAGCCCGCAAATTAATTCGTAATTCTATCAAAAGCTGGCTGTTTAGCTTAATTGCTTCTTCCCGTTGAGCTTGTCGTATTTCTTGTAATTTACAACGTAGCATTTTAGTTTTCACGAATATTCGTCGTTAGTTTCTAGAAATCCATATATATGTTTCATTTTCGTCAATTTTTCGTCACAAGCACTTCGGTTTGAATTGTTCAGAAGCCGGAATCAATTGTGAACTTTGATAGCTCCAAAAACGGAAATTTGTTGGAACCGGAAATCCAGTCAAAGCTTGCCGACCGAACTTCTGTCGATTACCATCACTAGAAGAGCACATGCGGTAGCATAATGCGTCATAAGTGAGGACTAATGCTCAAGGCAATCATCCTATCCTGCCTAATTACTTGGAATTAATTTTAGTGCACTAATTTCCGAGATGGCTCTGCGTGGTCAGTTCGATGCGAATGATGATGTTGGCGTCTTTTGCAAGCTCACAAACGCATATTGCCTTGTTGGTATTGGAGCTTCAGAGAACTTCTACAGGTATGCTTGATCAAACACTTAACTTCGAGATATTTTTCAGGTGAAAGGAAGATTACAATTGAATTAACCAAACGTTCAATTCTAAATCCCGTCAGAGATTCTTACGCGGACTACGCCTTATGATAATGCTCTTTTCAATCAAGATGGTTTATACTTCATACATGTTATTAAGAATTTGCTAAAAAGCATTCATTGTCGAGTTCTTCAAAAAATTTTCATGAGTTGATTACCTCAATGAAGTATTGCCGAGTATCGTTCATGCAGAATTAAAAAAGAGTTAGTCCTCAAGTGTATAAAACAATCATAAATTTGAAGATGCCTTATGGATGCGACAAGTTTCCACCGTCCGTTCAATGTTGACTTGTAAAATAAAATACGATAAATACTACTTTTAGTATGGTGGAAGGTGAATTAGCAGATGTGATACCAGTGGTGCATTGTTCCATCTCAGGGCTGCGTATTGTTGGTCGTGTAACTGTTGGCAACAGACATGGTTTACTTGTGCCGAACGCAACTACAGATCAGGAACTGCAGCACCTTAGAAATAGGTTGGTAGCGGATCACTGATTTAAGGGAGCTCGTTGCATTTTCACTGAATTGAATCTCGAAGGCCGTTGTTTATAATTGATTGTTTTTGAGAGTAGAGCATAACTGATTCAAAGCGTAATTCTTTGTTTTATTTTAATTTCTTTCATTATATTCTGGTATAAGTGAAATTTGCAACGTTATTTTTAGTTTGCCAGATTCAGTTCAAATCAGAAGAATTGATGAGAGGTTATCAGCTCTGGGTAACGTTATTGCATGTAATGATCACGTTGCTATTGTGCACGCGGAAATCTCATCTGAAACTGAACAGGTATATCACAGCTGACGAATTAATTTCTGATATGACTCAGTGCCACAGATCTTATCTTCTTGATGGAGATTACTTTCGAAGAGAATGTGTGTGTTAGGGCTGGCTAGGAATTACATTTTCGTACTTCCATTAATAGATTCAATTACGTAATATCCAGAAACTGAATCAAATAAAGAAGTCTATAAGAATTGTTTTGTCGTCATCAGTGCAGTTCGAATGTGTGTACTGTTCTCACTCGGTTATTCAGTATTATGCGAATAAATGGAATGAATATTCAATCATTACAACGAATATCTCAGAATCATTGAACTC